CAATTATAACGTGTTTTTTTAATAAAATTTGTGACACCCTGTAGAGTTGATCAGTTACAGTATCAAGTTAAAATTGAAATCACATTTTAGCCTTATCTTTTTTTACATTTTGTTTTTTATTTACTCCAATATCTTCCTGATTACACGAGAAACAACATTTTATAGGATGACATGATTTAATATTGGTTTTAATTAATATTTTTCCATTTTACTCACTAAAGTAAGTAGCAGGCTCTGGAAAAACACGGATTACCAGTAAATGTCAAATAGAGATGCTTGTTGTCAGTGTCAATCGTTTTCGTCCTTTTATTATATCAAAAATACGTAACGTGCACGTGAAACAAGAAATTTTACTGGCGAAGAATGTGCTCAAGCATTAATATTGTTTGAGGAAGGCTGGAGCTACCGAAGAATTGGTAAACGATTTAATGTAACTCACTCAACCATTTCACGAGTTATACAACGGTATAGAGATACTGGGAGTAATTGTCGTAGGCCCGGACAAGGCAGAAATCGAAGAACCAATCCGATTCAGGAACGTTTTTTAAAACTCTCAACATTAAGACAACGTTTCGTAACAACTCGGACCATTCAAACTCAGCTCAGTGATATTAATGGTCTATAAGTTTGCACAGAAACTAGCATCTCTATTTGATATTTACTGGTAATCCGTGTTTTTCCATAGCCTGCTACTTACTTTAGTGAGTAAAATGGAAAAATGTTAATTAAAACCAATATTAAATCATGTCATCCTATAAAATGTTGTTTCTCGTGTAATAAGGAAGATAATGGAGTAAATAAAAAAAACGAAATGTAAAAAAAGATAAGGCTAAAATGTGATAAGCGGTTTTGACAAAAACTTAACTTAAACTTTTGGTTATTTTTTTGTGGTGCGTTAATTTATTGGGGAAGTGTAAGTACTCACATCAATTGTCATATAAATGGATTTTCTGGAACACAGAAATTCCAATTTTTACTGTAAATCTAAGGCTCTAAAAAGACCAATGTTTCAATGTAATAATTCTACAAATAAGATTATTTTCACTCTCTTTCATTCTCAAACGGTTTTATAGCCCGGAGATACTGGAAATATACACCGTTTGAAAGCTCCGCGAGCGTTATGTAGCAGGAACAACTTTCACTAGCGGAAACCGCTTCCTATACCCTATAAGAAAAGGTTATTGATGCTATATGATTAAATGGCAAAAACAAGTTTCTGAGCAGTTCATTCACATTCCTACCATAACACTAAATTTAAAGCGATTTTCCCCTTTTTTTGTTTTTATCAACAGAAACAGATTTACTAGATATTCTCGTCTATTTTATCTAAAATCCCTTGTGCATGCGAGTATTATACTTTTTATATTTGAACATCGTGTTTTAATAAAAATATCTAAATTCTGAGAGAATCTCTTCTGGTCGACAATTCTCGTGCCTCGAGAAATAAAGAAGGTCGTAAAAACAGATAGGTACCCTATCCAGAAACCATTTGTAGCGCTACAAATACATTTACAAAGTCACTTAGTATTAAAGGTCGTAGCAAAATAATAGGTCGTGAACAGCCACCTCAAAAATCAAATCTAATTTATAAATTAAAAAAAAATATTTCATATTTATAGAAGTTTTTTCACAATATTTTTGTAAAAAAAATTCTGTTTTTAATAATCCATTCAATGGAATTTTTTTGAATGTCATTGTATCGATGTTTTAATCTATACTAATATGTAAAATCCTTAAGTGACTGACATACTGATTAATCACGATCCTGCTCAAACCACTCAACGTAAGAAGCTCAATTTTGGCATACAGGTTGATTCTAGGGTGTAGAGGTTCGATAAGAAGGGATTTTTGGTGAAACCACCCCTCAAATATTACAATATTTTTTATTTAAAAAACGGCCAAATTTCCGAAAAACGCTTAAACACGTATATTTTATTTTGTTTTTTTACATATTTTAAGTTTTTTTAAAAATGTATACAGGGTGTTTCGAAAAATCTGGTCATTGATTAATCACGATCCTGCTTAAAGCGCTTGACGTAAAAAGCTGATTTTTAGAAAACAGATTGACTTTAGGGTATAGAGGTTCGATAAGAAGGGATTTTCTCGAAACTCGAATTCTAAGGGGGTGAAACTTTTTATTACAGTGCCATACTCTATATAGAGCGTCGGCTACCTCTCGCATATACTTGTGATATGTGTCATAAGTGTTTCACAAGTACACGAGACCTACAGTTTATTGCCGAATCCGAACGGCATATTTGAGAGGCTGTACAAGGCAAATATACTCAAGGTGGTTTGCCATTGCCTTCCTTGAGGTGGCGGCTCGTTGGTCGCTCTATTTAGATAAATAAATATTTTTATTTAAATAAATAAAGCGACCGTACTGGCTGGGGATCGAACCCAGTACCTTCCGCTCCGCAGATCGACACACTAACGCTGGAGCTACGGCCGGCCACTATGGGTGAAACTATCCCTCAAATATTAAAATATTTTTTATTTAAAAACCGGTGAGTTTTTCGGAAAAACTCTTGAACACGTATATTTTATTTTGTTGTTTTACATATTTTAAGATTTTTTATAAATTTAAAAATATGACCATTGAGTAATCACGATTCTGCTTAAACTGCTTGACGTTTAAAGCTGATTTTTGGCAAACGGATTGACTGTGGGGTGTAGAGGAGGTTCGATAAGGAGGGGTTTCTCGAATCTCAAATTCCAAGAGGGTGAAAACGCCCCTCAAATATTACAATATTTGTTATTTAAAAAACGGTTAGTCTTCCGGGAAAACGCTTGGACAAACATAATTCATTTGGTTTCTTTGCATATTTTGAAATTTTTTAAAAAATCATACAGGGTATTCCAAAAAGTTGGGTAATTTCTTAACCACGATTCCGCTTAAAATGCTTGACGTAAAAAGCTTATTTTTGGCAAACGGATTTTTCGAAAGTCAAATTCCAACGAGATGAAACTACCCCTTAAATATTACCAAATTGTATAATAATATCGCCATATTGTTTTTTCTCATGCTGACATAAATGTGAGAAAATTTTATCCAGTTTGTATGTTAATAGAAATTCTTACTTTGCTTTATCATCACCATTACAAATGATTAATTCGACACGAACGAAGTCGCTGGTACACGCTAGTATTTGATATAATACAATATGATCTAAAAATAACAAATAACGGCATCAGCGATGGTTACGAAACGAAGACCGCTGTCATTTTATACGTAAAATTATATGGAAAATGTCATCGACCGTCATTTCCAAACCAACTGGACGCCGTTTTTTTCGATCATACGGTCTCTTATTACAATACAAGTGTATTCAATATAGCATGTTCTTAATAGGGGATTTCGTTAGTACTAATCAGTTGTAAATGATTTAGTTGTTCTATCGGTTTAAAATATTTTATATAGACCTTATTAAAATATATCTTTCGAATATACTTATTTTAAATATCTTTTAGATATATTCAAAGCTGAAATCAAAATAATTTTGTATACATATATGTTATATAGGTTGCTGGGGTTTGGGATCATATTTGATTCCTCACTTGGAGGCCTTGGGCCCATTGCAATACCCCTGTATTATTGTACCAAACCTTTCTCTCATCCTTTCTTTGCGTTAAAGGGCTTCCAGCTCTTTGCAATATTCCCGATGTCGCTGATGTTGGCTTCTGCTGCTTCCTTTAGTCTCTCCAAAAAACCTTACCCTAAAGTTTTAAAGCGTCGGAATTCCAGTGCCGGAGAGTGGAACAGCAGGTGCTCTATGGTTTCTCCTTCCCCTCCTCATTCTCTGCAGTAGCCGTCCGTCGTTGGAAACCTTCCATCCCACGAGGTTTACCTCCGTGGGGCAGTTTCCAGTGATGACACCTAGAGTTATGCGTACTTGGTTCTTTTTTTGCTCCAGTAAAATAAAAACACTAAATCACCACAATACACCAAAACACTTTTACTTTTACACTGGACGCGCGTTTCGCTAACCATGTTAGCATCATCAGCAGATGATTATAAACTATGAGAGATGATAAATGTGAGTTTATAATCATCTGCTGATGATGCTAACATGGTTAGCGAAACGCGCGTCCAGTGTAAAAGTAAAAGTGTTTTGGTGTATTGTGGTGATTTAGTGTTTTTATTTTGCTGTGTAACACCAAAGGTTCCAACCCTCAACTGTAATGCTCCAGTAGTTGTTTTGTCTATTTTTGCTATCTACCAATGACCACAGTCTTTGAGCTGTAGCGCTGTCCTCATGGTATTTCCATGTCTCTTGCTGCTTGACCTTGATGGTAGTTCCTATAGCTTCCTTGGGTCATCCGCCACGGCCTCTCCCCTGGCTCCCTCTTTGGCGTGTCTGTCTGCTTCTTGATTGCCCACCACATTGCTGTGGCTGGCACCCAGCACAGAGTAGCACCGCCTTAATGCCAGCCAGGACAGTGCTTCTCTTCACAGATTACATGGTGATGCTTCTTAAAGCACCCAAGCTGTCAGAGTATATCACGAATATCTCCTACTGGTCTATCAACGATTTTCTCTCGTATACAACTGGTTGCTTCCTTTATGACGGGCGTAAACCTCTGCTTGTAGAACATTACAACCATCCGATAGCCTTAAACATCGTCGGATGTCTAGTTCCTCTGAGAAGATGCATACACCTGTGCCTCCTGAAGTTACGGAAGCATCTGTGTAGACTGCTATCTCTTGAGTGTTCAGTACTCGGTTGCCTTCCCATTCTTCTCTTGTATTTTGTATAATAGCAACTAGCGTTTATTTAAGCAACAAATAAATGAAACTAATAAAATTCGAGAATAATACAAATATCTTAAGGAATTTTCTGTGTGAATTTTTGACCTAGTGGCATTCAAGAAACAAAATGTTTTAATTTTACGGTTATTGTTATCTATCGAAGAGATACAATACAGTTCATTTTAACTCTTATCCTTTTTTAAGATCTGGTAGATAAATTTTAACAACTTTCACTAATTTCATTTTTCAGATGAAAGAACGAGAGGATGGGCTTTAGTAGATTCACCAATACCAACATTGCTTTTTACGGCCCTTTATCTTTTTATAGTATGGATTGGACCGAAGTATATGGAAAAAAGGGAACCATTCAAATTATCGCTCCTTTTAGTTCCCTATAATATGTCGATGGCCGTTTTAAATTTCTATATTGCAATACAGGTAAGACAATCAAATTATTTTTATTTAATTACTACTTTTAACAAAATAATTTAGAAAAAATATAAACTATAGTCGGTCGTGTCGCGATCTATCATATGGTTTAAATGAAGAGTTTTTAATTATCTGCTGATAGTGCTATTAGTATTTGTGTTAAACAATTAAACAGAAGATCTTCTTGGACTTATATGTATTGTCTTTAATGTAGATATTTCACAAGAAGCCACTCTTTGACATTTACACTGACCTGCACATTAAAGACATTAATGATTTGCAGCGATTTTAGCATTAAAAGCACGCCTTTGCTTTTGGTCTTCATCAACATACCTGTGAAATAAATTTGGTTTTCTAATGTCACCGGCATGGAAAGTCATATTATTATATTATTTGATGGCAGTTATGATGGAGAGATGGTTCTAATCTAGAAGAGTGTTCAAATAAAGCAACCAATAGCATGGATAAAACTTCTGAACTTAAAATTATCTCTGCTAAAATAACTGACAACAAACATTAATAATATGACTTTTCAATGGTAGCACAGATTATACAGATTATAAGCTTATCGTCAAAACCATTGTTTTTCGTCGTTCCAATTTTCCGAGTCGCGCACTAGTTAGGTTACTAGTTTGCGCACAAGCACGCCCACTTATGGCCTATAAAATTGTGCACAGTACCTGACCGGCTTTGTATCGGCCCACTTTTTACGCTGCTTAAACGGGAGTTTATTTTTGCGTACAAGAAAATTTACTCGTTTGCTTAGGGATCGGCAAGACAAGAAATCTTGTCTTGACAAGCAATTTCTTGTCTTGTCTTGAAATATTTTCAAGAATTAAAAAAAAATCTTGTCTTGACCATTTCTTGAGAGTTGATTTCTTGTCTTGATTCAAGAAATCTTGAAATTTCTTGATATCTTGACAAAAGGGGTACCCCCGTTTAAAATTCGTTTATTAAAGGGGAACCCCCCGTTTTAAAGTCGCGGTGAGATTGGTTAATGTGATATTTATGCTTTATGCGTAAAATCGAAGGTCAGGCATCTAATTTTCAAAAAATTCAAAAACTTTGGGCTCATTATACTACAGTAGCCAAAATCATCAAATTTACATAATTTTGTTAATTATTATTATTATTATATAACATTAAAATGAGTGATTGTGATGGTTCGTTGAGCAGCAAATCTGAGCCATTCATAATTGAATCTGGTTCAGAATACCTACCACCTCAGACACCTGGACGTAAAAGTTTAATTAGTGACTTTGACAGTAGTGACGGTGATAATATTACTACAGATAAAAACAGTCAAAACACAACAATATGTTTGTTCCAATCGGACGAGAGAACCGTCCTAGAACGGTAATTTCCTATCAGTCAATTCATTTGTTAATCTTGACAAACGATCAAACTTTTCAAACAATAAGTGGGCGACTAGAAATTACCGTCCCAGGATCGGTTCTCGGTCCGGTTGGAACGAACCTAATGATAAAAGCTACTCTACTTCAGTGGCGCACATTAAAATGTATTATTTTTTTTTATTTTAAAAGTTTTACGTTAATTCAAAAAGTCTGTACCTATACCACTGAAGTAGACCCTCTTTGATAAGTTTTTTTTATTCTAATATCGTAGGCCATAACATATCCAAAAAATTATAAAAAAACATTTAAAAACTATTAGGCATTAAAAAAGGTTCCAATTTAATTGAATTGATTCAATTTGACACAGTATGCTAACTTTGGACATCCGACTTTAGACATAAAACTTTGGACGTATGTCAACTTTGGACATTGGACATCCGACAAAGTGCCGCTTCGTACAAATATTATATACAAATACCTAAGTAAATGAGTATTTCTTTTTCATTTTATATTTTCAAGAAATTTCAAGATTTTCTTGATTTCTTGTCAAGAAATCTTGATCTTGAGAAGTAATTTCTTGTCTTGTCTTGAAAACCAAAAATCATTTCTTGTCTTGATCTTGTCTTGATTTCAAATTGATTCAATTTGACACAGTATGCTAACTTTGGACATCCGACTTTAGACATAAAATTTTGGACGTATGTCAACTTTGGACATTGGACATCCGACAAAGTGCCGCTTCGTACAAATATTATATATAATATACAAATACCTAAGTAAATGAGTATTTCTTTTTCATTTTATATTTTCAAGAAATTTCAAGATTTTCTTGATTTCTTGTCAAGAAATCTTGATCTTGAGAAGTAATTTCTTGTCTTGTCTTGAAAACCAAAAATCATTTCTTGTCTTGATCTTGTCTTGATTTCAAGACAAGATTTATTAGGCATTAAAAAAGGTTTCAATTTAATTCAATTGATTCAATTTGACACAGTATGCTAACTTTGGACATCCGACTTTAGACATAAAACTTTGGACGTATGGCAACTTTGGACATTGGACATCCGACAAAGTGCCGCTTCGTACAAATATTATATATAATACCAAATACTTAAGCAAATGAGTATTTCTTTTTTCATTTTATATTTTCAAAAATTTCAAGATTTTCTTAATTTCTTGTCAAAGAAATCTTGATCTTGAGAAGTAATTTCTTGTCTTGTCTTGAAAACAAAATAAATTTCTTGTCTTGATCTTGTCTTGATTTCAAGACAAGATTTATTAAATTAAGGTTTCAATTAATTCAATTGATTCAATTTGACACAGTATGCCTTTGGACATCCGACTTTAGACATAAAACTTTAGCGTATGGCAACTTTGGACGGACATCCGACAAAAGTACCGCTTCGTACAAATATTATATATAATATACAAATACTTAAGCAAATGAGTATTTCTTTTTCATTTTATATTTTCAAGAAATTTCAAGATTTTCTTAATTCCTTGTCAAGAAATCTTGATCTTGAGAAGTAATTTCTTGTCTTGTCTTGAAAACCAAAAATCATTTCTTGTCTTGATTTCAAGACAAGATTTATTAGGCATTAAAAAAGGTTTCAATTTAATTCAATTGATTCAATTTGACACAGTATGCTAACTTTGGACATCCGACTTTAGACATAAAACTTTGGACGTATGGCAACTTTGGACATTGGACGTCAAAGTGCCGCTTCATTACAAATATTATATATAATACAAATACTTAAACAAATGATATTTCTTTTTCATTTATATTTTCAAGAAATTTCAAGATTTTTCTTAATTTCTTGTCAAAATCTTGATCTTGAAGTAATTTCTTGTCTTGTCTTGAAAACCAAAAATCATTTCTTGTCTTGATCTTGTCTTGATTTCAAGACAAGATTTATTAGGCATTAAAAAAGGTTTCAATTTAATTCAATTGATTCAATTTGACACAGTATGCTAACTTTGGACATCCGACTTTAGACATAAAACTTTGGACGTATGGCAACTTTGGACATTGAACATCCGACAAAGTGCCGCTTCGTACAAATATTATATATAATATACAAATACTTAAGCAAATGAGTATTTGTTTTTCATTTTATATTTTCAAGAAATTTCAAGATTTTCTTGATTTCTTGTCAAGAAATCTTGATCTTGAGAAGTAATTTCTTGTCTTGTCTTGAAAACCAAAAATCATTTCTTGTCTTGATGCTGTCTTGAAATCAAGACAAGATCAAGAAGTTGTCAAGAAAATGACGACCCCTACGTTTGCTTATCGTCATAAAAAACAATTTTCGTACCACGAATTACGGACAAGATTTTTATCTGTATACTTATGGGATACCTAATCTGTGATGGTAGTGACATTACAAAAAAAAATAAACGCTATTTCATAGGTATGTTGATGATGAGGACCAAAACAAAGGCATGGGTTTAATGCAAAAATTGTTAGTAATTGTTACAATCTTCTTCAAAAGCGCAATATCTCCACCAAAAAACTCTTAATGTGTTGTAAACTGGATTTTTATTTTTTGAATTTCTTTGTTAAATCATTCCACAGGATCTTTTAAACTTACTGTACTTACTAAGATAACTGTTCTGTCGTTCTTTCGTTTTCCATGCGAAGTCAGAGGCAATTAGTTATTTTTTTTATTTCATTTGATCTACATTGTTTTCTTTGTCAGTGATATATTTCTTGCCATATTAAGTAGTAGATAAGATGTTTTGAATAAGAATAACGGACATTTTTAGAGATTTACAGGATCTATGTAAATGTATTTTTATTTCAGCTTCTCACAGCTTCAACGAGGTTACGGTACAGTTACATTTGCGAACCATGCAGGCCTAAGCATAATCCTGATGAATTACAGGTAATAATACAATATTTCATATAATAATATACAATATTTCAGTCTTTGAAAAAAATTTAAGCATTATTTTTTGCAATAAAAAAAACGTTAGAAAAAGTTAAAATAAAAAAACTATTTTATATTTTTATTTATATACATATAATAACCATAAAATAAACATTTCGTCTATGTACTTTTATAGATTGCAAATGCGGTTTGGTGGTATTATTTCTCCAAGCTTCTGGAATTCTGCGATACTTTCTTCTTTATTTTAAGAAAAAAGAAAAATCAACTTTCTTTCCTCCATGTCTACCACCATTCGACCATGTTTCTCTTGTGGTGGATTGGTATCAAATGGGTACCTAGTGGATCAAGTAAGTTTTTATTTAAATTTTTACCAAAATATTGTACAGTATGTCCCCGGATTGCCTTTACAAGAGGAAAAACTTTTTTATTATTGACATTTTGAGAAAAATGCATTCTTCATAAAAAATCAACAACATGATTTTCTAAAATGCTTAATCTGGTTTATAGTTTCCTAAATTTCCATACCGTTTTAAAGAAAATTAAAAAAACATGAAAATATCGTCCTAAAAAAGTCTTAAAAATCAAAAGACATTTCTATGGTAATATACAGGGTGGCGCCTGTTATACGACGCGGAGGCTCCAAGGAGAACGGTAGTTTACATTGTGACAAAACTTTCAAGATTTTGTCCGTTATCATGGTAGTGTGGCCTTTATATAATTATAATTAAAATAATTTATTGAGCGGTAGGCAGAACTTGGATAATGAGAACACCGACTTTTCAGAGCGTAAATATAGTTTACCTTTTACATATAAAAACAAAATATAACCAGCTAAAAATCGAAATTAAGGCATCGCACTTTTATGGCAAGGGCTCTTTCTAAATTCAGTTACTATAAACTCTATTGCCACTTACCTTATTACGTCAACATCCATCAGCAATACATCAACAACAAGAACCTGTCGAAGATATCATTGATCCCCTTGTAGATCTACCTCTTCGGTCTTGGACTCATACTTTAGATTGAACCACTCGACCGGTTATCACAGTGTTCTTTTAAATAACTTAATATTTTAGTGATTAGGTGAAATAAAGAAATAAAATACCGATTTTTCGAACACCTAACTATATTTAATATAAAGAAATAAATAAATAAAAAAAATAAAGAAAAAGTTTTAACAACAAAACATTTATAATTAATGAAAAAGAAAGAAATTGAATCAAAAATAATTAATGACAATTAGAGAATTGAAATTAAAACTCAGAGATTTTTTTTAGAATTTAGAATGAGTGGGAGGGGGGTTAATCACTTCGACCTTACAGATCCATTGTGTCCCCCTTTCTTGAATCATAACTCATCATACAGTCCCAGGGCTTTGACAAAAGCCAGTATCTGGGACGGTTTTATAGAGGGTAGTTCTCCATCTCCAATATCAGTCGTACCAAAATTCATGGCACGAATGGTTGTCGTCTCGGCGCACTCAGTGATGAGGTGTACTGGTGTTTCACCATCTTCCCCACAGAATCTGCATTCGCCGTTTCTTCTTAGTTTTAATCTACTGAGGTGTTCATTGAGGAGACAGTGTCCTGTTAAAAACCCCGTGACAAAACTCAGAGATAATAAAGTTAAAAAAAAAATACAAAATATTCTTCTTATTAGTCCAATTTAAATTATCAACAATTAGCATACACTTTCAAATCTCTCTTAGAATTATCGTTGGCAGAAAATTAATATATTAAAAAAATATTCACTGAAAAATTAAATTTAAATTAGAATTTAATAAAAAGAACAATTGTAAAATAATCACTTATGCAATGACATCTAAAATTTACTAAAGCCTTTAGAACAAACAGAAAGTCTTAAATCATTAATAAAGAAAAATATTAGAGAGAATCCAAAAACAACAATTAAAATACTGTAAGCATGAATAGTTTAGAATTTCCTAACTTGAGAATTTATTTGAGAAAATCTTTAGATAGAGAACTTACTAAAACAATTAAAAAGACCACTGGATAATATATATCTAAGATATAATAAGATCTACACGGAGTAAATTCGACCGTCTAATTTAAAAGTCAGTACCGAACTAATTTTGAAGATGAAAATACTGATGCTGGTACTATCTCGGAAAGGCGTTACTACATCTTCGGCACGCCCCTGTTTGAGGAACCTTCGAATACCCATCCAAATGCATATTTTGCACCTTTTTAATTGGCCGAAGGGTTCCTTCCCCGAAAGATCCCTAGACTTCTTTCACCCCTGTTTCTGGTCCTTATCCCGAGAGGGCATCAGCATGTCCTATTTATTAATTAAATGTAATTTTTAAACCCTTCCGTGTAAATCTTACTCTTTTACCAATTTGCTGGATAATATTCATAATCTAAGCCTTAACTAATACAAATGATATCGTGCCATAGGATTACCTTAGAAAAAAAACCGCCTAGAAATTAACTCTTTATTTCTTCACATTTTTGTCTATTTCTATTTAACTCTAGGAACGGAAAAAAAGATAATCCTATTTCTATCATTTTCAGACATTCATCTCGTGAACATTTGGATTCTGATTTTAAAACATATATTTAATACTTTTAATTTTCAATGTAAAACCTCTAGCGAGGGATGATTTAATTTTACTTATTTCGTTAAGCATGCCTACGTGCTTTTTCTGCGTTGTTTATTTTGAGATATCCCTAGGGTACACAACTGGTACCACTCTGTCAAATAGAGTTTTGATAATAAGGGATGAATGTTTGTTCTACTTTACCCTCGTTTATGTGACTTTAAATTATTTAGAAGATTGTATTATTTGCTTAGTTAGTTTCTCAGGATATATGCGTACTTTTATAGAGTTTATGTGTCTTGAATATCATTAGATTATTTGCTTAGGCCTTTTAAAATTCGTTTGCCTATGTCAAATGATAACTTCGTAAACTGAAATGGTCCCATCTTAGAATAACAACCCAAAAGATAAAATTTTACCAAGCTTGATATTATTCTATTACAACATCGAAATGAAATTTTGGGAGCACATGTAGGTTAATTGAAAGCAGTTTATAAAAATATATAGAGTTAAGTATACAGGATGTCCCCAAAAACGTTACAATTCAAAGTTGTGTTATTGTAATGGTATTAACTAACCAACTAACACCCTATATATTAATTGATTTTCGGATTTTATGAAAAAAATAAATACAATTTATCAAAGAAGCGTGTGCCTAAAATGTAACGATTTTGACATATTTCACATTTTGTGAAAATGAAGAGTAAATTTTAAATTTCAATAACAACTCCCTAAATTTTAAATTACCGATATTTAATTACAATAACCATTGTATGTTAAACCAAATTAAAATTTGACCCGAAAAGTTATACAGGGGGGACAAAATTAATATGAAACATTAGTCACTTTTAAAAGCAAGTTGCTTCCTTATTTTAAATGGAAGTGTATTCAGTATATTATTCCGGTGTTAAATGGGAAATTCATATATTTTCAAAATATTAGTAAGGTTGCCTACCCCTCTGACAAAGATTTTCCTAAGTAGATATTTTAATTTTTGTGATTTGGCGTCAGTAAATCTTTATTATTGGAAAAAATCTAGGTGGCTGTGACAAACCTTTTGTTAATTTAACAAAAATTAAAGGATGTAAAGTAAAATACTGAACGGTAATAAAAAGATACACACAATATATCAAAGAATGAAAACGAAATTATATTACCATAGAAACGCTTTTTGATTTATAGAAAAAAATACATATTATTCAAAAAATGTTTTTATTAATTTCTTCTAAAATGGTATGGAAATTTTAAAAGTATAAACGGGATTAACCATTTTAGAACAAGCAAAAATTTTTATAAAGAATATACATTTTTTCAAAATGTCAATAATAAAAAAGTTTTCCCTCTTGTAATACAACTGTTCATACATACATGGTACATACTGTTCGTGATTAGGGTACAGTATATGATTAGAAAAGAATTAAGAAGAAAATAAAATAAAACAATACAGTCTATTTAACGAGAGAAAATATGACAATTACAGAAGTTTTCTGTCAATTTCATTGAAGACTAAATTCTATTTGACATTTTTTGAATGAATTTTCTCGAAATCGTCCCATCTCTCGCATGACAAACTGTTGTATGATAGTGATAGTTGCTGTTTCTATTGTGATTTGAATTAAAAACTAAATTGTATTTCCAGTCATTTTATGAATGTCGATTGCCGAAGTCGTACCTTCTCTCGTTGGACTAATTTTAGCATGTATTGATCTAATGATATTCTATTTCTAGCCTTTTTACCTGCCATGGTAAATTCATCTATCCATGTACTTTTATACGCTTATTATGGCCTGTCAGTTTTTGGACCCTCTGTGACAAAATACTTATGGTGGAAGAAATACCTCACGATATTACAACTGGTAAGTTTGTACACTGTTGCATAAATATTTAATATATTATTACGATATTAATGATAATATATGACAATCATTTTTTTGTAGATACAATTTACTTGTGCCTTAGTTTTGGGAGTAAATGGTATTAGAACTGGCTGTGAATTTCCGTTATGGATGCATTACACTCTTATTTTCTACATGCTCTCATTTATTGCATTGTTTGGAAACTTTTATGTTAAAGCTTATATGGATAAGGTAAGAAAGACTACATGTCAGTCATATCATGTTGGACGTAAAAACTCATAATTAATTAGATTTAAAAGAAGAACGATTTATTTTTAAATCGATTGACAGTGAGTCACACGTGCGCATGAGTTGTAGTTGTGGACATAGATAAAATGATATGAACACAGAATTGGAATTGACGGATTTCGTTTGGAAAACCAGAAACTTATTTAGCAATGCTAAAGTAGTTACAAATTCGCTTCCAATTTAGAATAATTATCATTATTATATGAATATCACTCATTAAACACTTGTAAAACCCCCACAGACGCTCATATATTTAACACAGGCGGATAGTTTGCGCAGTTTATCCTAGTGCAACAGCCTGTTCGTTGGATGCAACAGGCGCACACATACGCAATTTTATAGTACACTTTTATCTACAATAAATTGAGTCACTTTAGCACATTTATTCTAAGTAAAAAATGGACTCCCGAGATGCAGTTCTGTCTTGGATTTTGCTTGTTTGTGCAATACAGAAAAAGCGGAAAAGCAACGGTTATATAGTTAATAATAGACCAAAGACTGGCTACTTAAAAAAAAAATTATTCCCATATCAATTTCCTTGCTAATTTAAAAGTTGAAAAACAAGATTGGTTTACCTACTGAATGGACGAGGAAACTTAGAACTATTGAAATTTTTTTTTTTTTTCGAAAAACTACCACAGTATGATGCGTATCATGCATGTACCAAAGGACTTTCTACAGTTTTTGAGCGATGTCTTACTTGTGGTGTATGAGATGTGCCGCTAAATATACTGATTATATTTGATAGTTCCTTTGATACGCTCCGCACCCACTGTTTTTCTGTTTACACCCACGCAGTCGGCGCCCCTGGAGCCTACTTAATATTATTATGCCTAAATATTACAATCAGAGAAGGGAAGAAACATAAATATTAAAATTTCACTGACTTAATTAGCATAAAAAATATTTAAAAAACGTAAACAATATTGTACTTTAATTAAATATGGAATTACGTTTTTTATTTTACCTTACGTTAAAATTATACGTATTGAAAGTGAAATTTGCGAATAAGTATCTTATAATGGTGTATGAATGTGTCGTTCGTGAACTTGTCAGGCACGCAACGTAAATTAGAATGAATTATACAACGTGCTTTCATATCCTTTTTATTACGCTTGTCAGTTACCGCACAAAGAAAATCGTTGATGTAAAAAGCATAGGTAAATACAATATGATCGAAAGAAAAACGGCGTCCGCGATGGCTTTGAAATGAAGTTTGCTGTCGTTTTATATGTAAAATTATATGGGAGATGTCATCGATCGTCATATCCAAGCCAACTGGAAGTCGTTTTTTTTTCGATCATACAGTTTTGAGTACAGTAAAGGCGCATACTCATGACTCGTGTACTTGACAAACATTTGTAATTGGTATACAGGGTATACACGTTGCGTCGGGCATCTATACAGCATTTCTAAGTTATTTATTATAGGAACTACGCCGCACTCACGCCAGACCCTGTAGGCCAATAAAAAATACTTGCCAAGTAGACGAGTCGAGAGAACGCGCCTTAAGAGACAGGAATGTGCATGAGGGCCTACTGCAAATTTTTAATTGTGGAATATAAAATTTATTTTCGTTTATTAAAACAGACCCATATTGTTAAAGTTTGTCCAGTTAGTAGAAGAATATTTCGACAGACGACATCAAAATCATGAGAGATAAATAATTTACCTGTCAATTAAAATGACAAACAATAACTTTCACTGTCATATATTCTCTTGTTCAACAGATTTTATATAGTTTGGAAAATCAATCAAAATCAGAGATATTTAGATTATCACGAAATTTCCTCTTTGATTAAATATTTTTACTTATTATAATTAAAAAGAATTTTGAATTTATTTTTTTCAAATGACCACCTCTTGCAACATTTTCGTCCATTAGGAAAAGTGTATATGAGGAGCAGACTTACTAAATGCATTTTGTCCATTTTTTAAGATTTTCAACCAAAAGTGACATTGGAAACTACATACAGAGTTTGTTTTTATCCCATTCGAATTAAATGGCAAAAATACCTTAGACTTTCTATGTGCTGTATGTCTATTGGCGGTAGACATACAAACAGAAGTATGTCTTTGTGCTGTGGACATACTGCTGTTTGTTTGTCATTGCCAGATGACCAGTTTTTTCTTTGTACTACAACTTCTCTATTTCTTGAGTAATACTACTTAAAACTTTAAATAATAAATGGAACTGCGACTGGGGACCTTGTACACTCAGACGCAAAAAAAACGCAACGGAGAAAAGTGTTGTATTTTTGTTATTTTTAGCCCTATTTTTATGATTTTATTTTTAGCAAACTGTGTATAATTATATCAACTTTAATTTGTAAATTAAGTTTTTTTATAAACTTTAGTATTTGGCATATTATACAGGGTTGTTCGAGGGGTTGTTTTTTACCTTAACATTAAAACACCCTGTGCAATAATTTCGTGTGTAAATTTTCCTAAAATATAATTTTATTGTCATGACTCCTTAGCATTTTATTTTTTGATTCATGTCAATACATCCTTTGGTTAATTTTTAAGAGCGAAATGAACTGATCACGATCAATTTGCAATTTTTTCAATTATCATTACTTTTTGATGTATTTTTTTAATATGACGAGATGGTTTTGGTTACTATTGTCATAATGTCATATTACGCTGCATTGGATACTTTATACTAAATAAAAAAAAAACACGTTAAAAACTAACGATACAGTTCTGGTTTTAATAAACATTAATAACGATAACAGAACTAACGATATAAAAGAAAGCCTCTGTAATACTTAAATATACAAACAGAAAAAAAAAATTAAAAAATATTCTAATACCTGTGTTAATACATTGCATTGCTTCCTTTGGCTGCTAAAACTGCTTGTATACGTCCGTTCACACTGTCATTGAGGCTGCATATATCATATTGCGTTATGCTTTCCCATTCTTCTTAAGAAGAACATTTAAGGAAGCTGGAACCGCTTCGCGACCCTCCTGCAAAGCGTATCCCAAACGTCGAACATTATGGGCAGTTCATAGTAGTATATAGTTCACAATAATCGCCAAAGCCGGCTTGTCATATTGAAAAATAACTTTAAAAAAATGATAATTGAAAAAATTGCAAATTGTTGGTGTCAAGTTCATTTCGCTCTTAAAAATTAACCAAGGCATATATATTGACATAATCCAAAAAACAAAATACTTAGGAAACATGGTTCTGACCGTAAAATTCTTAATTTTTTATTTCTTAAAATTATATTTTAAGAAAATTTACAAACGAAATTATTGCACAGGGTGTTTTAAAGTTAAGGTAAAAAAACAACTCCTCGATTAACCCTGTATAATATGGCAAATACTAAAGTTTATAAAAAACTGAGTTTACAAATTAAAGTTGATATAATTATGTACAGGTTGATAAAAAAATCATGAAAATAGAGCTAACAATAACAAAAATATATGACTTTAAATTTGACCAAAAATTTCTCCGTTACTTTTTCTGCATCTGAGTGTAGTTGGGGTTTGGTTGGGGATACGGATCGTGGTAGCAGAAAAATAAAGAGAAATTTCACGTCTAAAGAACAGTCAACAGTTTTTTTTTTCATTTTTTTTCAGATAACTTTAAAACTAGTTTTTTCACATGTACAGTATCGGACAACACGATTTACAAATGAAACAAGAAAATACTAACAAATCTTTATTTCCAATTGTTTCTTTAAAAAAATAATAAATTCCAATAATCCTATTTTTTACTGCGACAAAATTAAAGCAACTTTTATTTTTTTCCATGCTATTTAGAATACAAACTAAATTTAAGTATGAAAAAGGCCGCATTATCAATATTTTGTCCAGTACCCTTTATTTGCTATCACAGCTTCACACCTCTTGGGCATTGAATCAATTAAATTTGAAATGACGTCAGCATCCATTGACATCCAAGCATTTTCAATTTCTTGATACAAACTATCACAATTTGAGATATTTTCTGAACGAATCGTCTTTTCTACTATTTCCCATAAATTTGCAATGGGGTTGAGGTCAGGTGATTGTGGGAGCCACTTTAAAACTCGAACATTATTATTATTAAACCACTGTTTAACAATTTTTGCTGTGTGTTTTGGATCGTTGCCATGTTGGTATATGAATTTAATATTGTATTCTTTTCATTCTGCATAAGGCCACATAACATTTTCAAGAATATTGCGGTACACAAATCGGTCTATTTTTCCACATATTTTGTATAATGGGCCCATACCGTAGGAAGAGAAACAATCCCAAACCATTATATTTCCTCCTCCATGTTTAACCGAGCGATTTACGTATTTTGGATGTAGCCTTTTGCCTTCTGGACGACGTACCCATCTAGCACCATCACTCCCAAAGATGCAAAATTTTAATTCGTCTGAGAACAGCACCTTTTTCCACTCTCGGGCGGTCCACTGACGATCAAAGGTAACGAATAGTAGTCTCGCATCCCGGTTTTTCTTTGACAATAAAAGAAAATAACATAAATAATTCTTAGCAGGTCTTCTAGCCTCGAGACCAGCTTCAACTAGGCGTCGCTGAATGGTTCTGGAAGAAACCTCTGGTTCCCCCAAATTGGCCAATACTTGTTGAGCTGACATTTTCGGCTCCCTTTGAACTAACAGTTTAATGCGACGATCAAAATGTTTGTTGGTTTTTCTATGTCGGCCACCTCAATTTTTAATTGTCTTCGAAACCTATACCTTGTTGATATGTCTGCCTGCGACATGCCACCTTTGTAGGCGTCAACGATGCGTTGTTTCAAGTCAATTGAATAATGTATACCCCGAGGCATTCTACAGAGCAAAATGGTTACTTGTATCAACACTCTCAGAAAACTAACACTGCGTAAAGATCAAGTTGCTCTAATTTTGACCAAGAATTTCATCAACATATTTGAATGCAAAAAATTACCGTTTAAGTCAACAAACAATCGAAATGTTTTGCTTGAAAGAAACATTCCATTGCAAAAATAAATAAACCGATTCAAATAAATGATGGCAGTTAAATTCACATTTTTCTATAGTTGCTCTCAATTTGTCCGATACTGTAGGCAAAGTCTTTGCTGTAGGTATACTATTTTTATGATTTTATGTCTATTTTTCAAGTATTCTAGTTTTTCGATAAATTTCTTGCAAAAAGCGTAGCAGTTTTTCTTTGTTTGCAAAAATTCGAAAAAATGGACCCCCCCCCCAAATGCATCTAGAAAGTCAGCTCCTCATATAAACTAAATTAAAGATAATAATGTTACAATTCACATATTTTTAATAGACTAAATTTTTATGTCAAAATATGTAAAAATGTTAATCTTTTTTGTTTGAGTGTGTCTTTATGTGTTGTTATTGTTGTATTGTTTTGTTGTTGTTTTTTTTGGACATTATTATATATTGATTAATTTTCTCTATTTATTTTCAGGGTAATCAGGTATTCTTTGGCATGGACGTTGGATGTGGTCAAGGAAACACCTATGATAATAAACTGCTACACGGCCAGGAAAAGAAAACGAATTAAAAGAAATTATATAGAGTGTAATTACAAATATGTTTTATAAACATGTAAATTTTTGGGTAGTTTTATGACAAAATGTCATAAAACTCAGTAGATAAAGTATGCTTATAAGGTATCAAAGGATCAGAGCAATGAAAAATTATTTTAATATATTATGGGTGTAACGATTTTGAAAAAAAAAATGAAAGGGGTGGATCAGGAATTTAAAAATCTCCAATATCATTATTAATGTATATAGATAGGTATTCTTCTCTCTTCTTTCATGACATTATTTTCAACTATTAATTTGTTTTCTTCAAATTTTTGAATTGTAAATATTGTTTTATTGCTGGGAAACATATTTTCTTTATTGTATTCTATTTCTTTATTATGACCATCAATTCAAATTGATAATTTTTTCATATATCTGGTATCAAAAAATATTTGAATTTTAAATAAATCCCTACTACAAAAGTAAGTAATGTTCAGTAAATGAAGAAAACCTCTTATATTTTCAAAGTTGGAATCCACGTTTTTTCAATTTTAAGTATTATACATAGCAACAAATATTAAAAAAATTGATTATTATTTATAATGTCAATTTAGTATCTGTCTACTAGTCTGTTTTATATTTACATCTAATAATAATTATTTAAATGAGCGTACTCAGTTGTGTTAGAATACCCATGTTTTAATATTTAATATAAATTTATTTATTTATAAAACGTTGTTATAATATTATTAGGGTAAATTTTGATAAATTTATAGTTTGTAAACGAGTGTTCTGGCTAGTTAAAATTTGAAACTTATTATTGTTCTTAAATTATTTTTATTTATATTCATTTTTGTTAAATTTTTATATTTTAACATAATTTTTATAAGTATAATTTTTATGTAAATAACTAACAATAAAATTATATATGTTTTACATATGGAGTACGCCAAGAACCATAATTAAAGTAATTATTGAAGAATTATTGTATTTTATTTTATTAATCATTTTTAAAGTAAGTTAGAATAATAGGAGTATGTATTTTCAAATTATTTTCACAAATATACAAAGTTATTCAATTCCATAATACTGAACTAAATAAAATTTGTGCTCCTTAACTTTTAAAATAGCAAAAAAGTATGACGTTGTTCAGAATTAATAATCATCTCTCAATAAATAAATTTTGAGAAATGATCAAATTTAAAGTGTTATACCGTATGATAGAGAAAAAACGGCGTCAGAGAGGGCTATGAAATGAAGATCGCTGTCAATTTATATGTAAATTTATATGGGAAATGTCATCGATCGTCATTTCCCAGCCAACTGAATGCCGTTTTTTTTTTCGATCATACGGTATTTTTGTTATTTTTAACCCCATTTTCATATTTTTTTTAGCAAGCTGTATATAATTATATCAAAACTTTAATTCGTAAATTTAGTTTTTTATAAACTTTAGTATTTGGCATATTATACAGGGTTACTCGAGGGGTTGTTTTTTACACTAACTTTAAAACACTCAGTGCAATAATTTCGTGTCTAAATTTTCTTAAAATATAATTTTACGATCACAACCATAACGTTCATATCGATACATGCTTTGGTTAATTTTTCAGAGCGAAATGAACTGATCACGATCAATTTGCAATTTTGCCAATTATCATTTCTTTTGATGTAATTTTTTAATAAGACGAGATGGTTTTGGTGACTATTGTCGTAAAGTCATATTACGCTGCATCGGATACTCTTTACCAAATTAAAGAAACAAACTTAAAGACTAACGATACAGTCCTGGTTTTAATAAACAATAATAACGATAATAGAACTAACGATATTAAAGAAAACATCTGTAATACTCAAGTATACAAACAGAAAAAAAAATTGTAAAAAATACCTGAATACTTTGTATTGCCTTCCCCTGACTGCTATAACTGCCTGTATACGTCCATTCATATTGTCATTGAGGCTGCATATATCATATTGCGTTATGTTTTCACATATTTCTTTAAGGACCAAGCGAAGTTCATTTAATGAAGCTGGTACTGCTTCGCGACCTCTAACCCTCCTACCAAGCATTTGCCAAACATCGAACATGATGGGTAGTTCATAGTAGTATCTATTTAGTTTAAAATAATCACCAAAACCATTGCCACATTGAAAAATAACAAAAAAGAAATGGTAATTGATAAAATGGCAAATTGTTGGGGGCAAGCTCATTTCGATCTTAAAAATTAACCAAGGCCTGTATTGACATGACCCAAAAAAAAAATGCTCAGAAGACATGGTTCTGAGCGTAAAAATATATTTTAAGAAAATTTACACACGAAATTATTGCACAGGGTGTTTTAAAGTTAGGGTAAAGGAACAGCCCCTCGATTAAACCTGTATAATGTGACAAAACTTTCAAGATTTGTCCGTTATCATGGTAGTGTGGCCCTTATATAATTATAATTAAAATAATTTATTGAGTGGTAGGCAAAACTTGGATTAATGAGAACACCGTCTTTTCAGAACGCAAATATAGATTATCGTTTACATATAAAAACAAAATATAACCAGCTAAAAATAGAAATTAAGGCATCGCACTTTTATGGTAAGGGTTCTTTCTAAATTCAATTAATATAAACTCTATTGCCACTTACCTTATTACGTCAACATCCTTCAGCATTTCATTAACAACAAGAACCTGTCGAAGACTTCATTGATCCCCTTGTAGATCTACCGCTTCGGTCTTGGTCTTGGACTCATTCTTTAGATTAAACCACTCGACCGGTTACCACAGTGTTCTTTTATATAGCTTAATAATTTAGTGAAAAGGTGAGATTAAGAAATAAAATGCCGATTTTTCACAACACCTAACTATATTTAATATAAAGAAATAAATAAATAAAAATAAAGAAAAAAATTTAACAACAAAATATTTATAATTAATGAAATATAAAAAAAGGAAAGAAATGTAATCAAAAATAATTAATGAATGATATTAAAACTCAGAGATGATAAAGTTGAAAATACAAAATATTCTTCTTATTAGTCTAATCTAAATTATCTAAAATTAGCATACAATTCAAATCTCTCTTAGAATTATCGTGGCCAGAAAATTAATATGTCAAAAAAAATATTAACTGAACATTTGGATTTAAATTAGAATTTAATAAAAAAAACAATTGCAAAATAATCATTTGTGTGATGACAACTTTTACTAAAGCCTTTAGAACAAACAGAAAGTCTTAAATCGTTAATAAAAAAATGTTAAAGAAAATCTAAAACAACAAGTTAAAAATCTTTATACATGAAAGGTTTACAATTTCCTAACTTGAGAATTGAATATCATTTAAGAAAATCTTTAGATAAACTTACTAAAATAATGGTAAAAAAAAACCACTAGATAATATAAGATCTTCACGGAGTAAATTCGACCGTCTAATTTAAAAGTCAGTACCGAACTGATCCAAAAAACTAATTTCCCAATCCTCGAAATTTTTAAAATGGGCGGGTAAAAAGAATAGGGAACCACCAAAAGCCGAGCCATTCTCAAATCCTCTCCGGGTTCGCTTTTCAGGAACCATCTGATTGGTCTGAGAAAACCAAAGAAATCACATTTATAATTTGATTTCATTAGATTCCGCTGTTTTATCTTATATGTTTATTTATTTCACATACTTTTGGATATTTTGGATAAAAAAGGAGGACAGTCCTTAACTTTCAGAATATCATTACGTGAACTTTACTTTAATATTTAAATTAACAATTATACTTGTTTTTATCCAAAATCTGTTTGTATTGGCCCGTGGGAGGTCTATCGTGAGAAGGGTATCGTCTTAGAGTTTTATTGCTTTCTAGGGGTTTTGCTTATATAATCTCGAAGTTAAAATTTAGGGTTTTACAGTTTTAATGATTGATGCTAGTCGTGTGTTTCTAGCTGTTGCAAAGCAAGTATTATATTAATTTATGGACGTGGGAGTTTAAACCTAACAGAAAGATATTTGGTTTTTCCCAGAGAAACGGGTCCTTCATTCTAACAGTTTTTGCGATCTTCTGAAAAAATACCAATTTAAGAGCGGAAACACATGACAAACTTTTAACAAACTAGGTTTGTTGTCTGCTCTAAAATATTCCATTACAATAATATGCCAAATACTAAAGTTTATAAAAAACTGAATTTACGAATAAAAGGTGGTATAATTTAATAAAAGTAGGGCTAAAAATAAAAAAAAATGTAACACTCTAAATTTTAAAAACATTTTTCGCCCTCCCAAAATTCCAACATAAACTACTGTTCTTCATGGAGCCTCCGCGTTGTACGAGGAGCGCAACCCTGTATATTGGAAAACTATCCAATGAGAAATTTTTCGCAAACTAAAGAACCAAACTCTCCTAGGGATTCGGGAATCGCCTCATAAATTCATCTATGGCTAATTTCGCCAACCAATGTACTCGGTAGTAACATTCTTATCCCACTTGCTTCTCCTACCTTTTCTACTCATATTATCGATTATCTAGACGCCTCCGACGCCTGTCGACGTTGGTCGAGCGTCGCGGCGCTCCGAGCGCAGTCCGAGACCTGTTGTCGGATTGGGGACAACGCGTTGCTGCGTCTCTATGGTGCCGCCGTCGTCGCCGCCACTACGATTCATTCAATAAATAGTGTGGTGTTTTTTCCGAGCTTGCATTAAGAGAAGGTAAGCATGAAAATAACCTTAAAGATGACAGAATGTAGCAGAAAGTTTATGATAATATATTCGAAATGTCAAAACTAGCAAACCTTGAAGCATGCTGCATATCGTATATTTGAAGCGCTTAAAATATGGCATTTGTTGGTATTTATTTCATTGTTTGACAGAAATCTAACCCCTAATAAAAAATAAAATTATTTAAATTAAATATTATTTAATTTCATTTAGCTAAAATATATTAAATAGTTTTGTCATACAACTCAATTCAGAACCTAAACTGTAAAGTATTGTAAAACTACTACTTAAATAACAGGCCTGATATATTTTTGAAAAATTATAAAAATAATTAAAACATTCCTAGAAGTAAGTGTTCGAAAGTAATTTCTGTCAAAATGAATTAGAATAATTTAACAGCATATAATACAAAAAACTTATTAAACCAAACAATAATAGATATTATATACAGGGTGGTCTGAATTGCATTCGGGAAACTTAGACAGCATATTCTACCGATAAAAATAGTTCGTATAATTTTATGACCTAAAATGCTTCGTTTCGGAGGTATCTACAGGGTGAATTAGTTTCATTTTTATTTCGATATTTTCCAAATAATTTCTGAATTAATGTCAATATTTGGTATCTGAACAAAACTTGTTTGAAGAGTTAAAACTTTTCGTCTGTACCTGTATAACGTACCTGCCTACGACTAACCGTTCTTAAGACATTTGGAATGTAAATTATCAATAAATGTCATTATTAACAAGAAATAAACGTGTTGATTAAATAGCGTATGATCGAAAAAAAAACCGGCGTTCAGTTGGCATGGAATTCACGATTGATGACGTTCCCCATATAATTTTACATATGAAATGACAGTGATCTTTATTTAATAGCCATCGCGGACGCCGTTTTTTTTATCAGACTGTAGTTATTTGACTGAAATGATAAATCTGGGAACTTTTTATTTTTATAAGTTAATAATATTTTTTTCTGGAAAAAATAATAATGTAACAGTTTCTGTTAAGCGTTTAGCACAAAAACATTTCAAATTTATGATTTAAGTGCAATAACTATCCAGACAACATGTTCAATTTTGTTAATGATGACATGTTTGAATTTATTGGATTCCAAATATCTCGGGAATCATTAGTCGTAGCATTTTTTACCGAGAGACCGTTTTCATGTAAAAACGGTAGGAATGTGTATTTTTTCACTCAGAGGGGGGGGGGTTATACAGGCAGAGACAAAAAGTAATTACTATTCAAACCAGTATTTATATTATTTATATAGGTGGCGCCC